TGTATTGTTATGATGATCAATGATGCCTCTTTCAAAATTGTGAATGTCATATAGCATCTGGCTTAAAACATGAATCAAATTCAATAACTGGAAAGTTGTTGCATAATGCTCAGGTGACCTATAAGGCCCGTGGGCCTCTTGTTTAAGTAAAATTATTCATTCACGTTACAAAATAAAAATTATGAATTTTATTTTAAATGAATATTAATTTAATCTCATGAGTTCATGTAACAATGGAAGACGAAATGGCGTCGAGCTGCATTCGTGTCACATACACTGTATGTAGTATAAAATCCGAGCTGTATTTATGTTCATAGTTTTAACATGTTCAGTACTAGTGTACGATCCAAGCATTATTATGTATATTCCTTATTAAAATACATGTATTTTATTCATCTTGAATATTATTCTGAATATGGATGCGAAAATCGTAAGCAGAAACATGAAATTAATGCAATAATTTCAAAGCGTATTTCTCGCAACAGAAAACATTATTTTCATAGAGTAGTGTTCACTACCACGTAATGTTTTAAAAATCCTTTCAGTGTAAGTAATTATTTAAAAAAGAGTTTCTTTATTCTAATAAGTTTTTCTTTTCTTGTAAAGTGTATAAAAAGCAGAACCAGAGAGAGAGAGAGAGAGAGAGACTCATACAAACCCCTTCTAACATAGTCTCTAACTTTTTTTTATTCTTCGTTTTATTTAATTTACGGAGGTCACAGTTAATCATTTTATAATTCTATTTAATTGCCACAACTTTTGTTCAAATTCAACCCATTTACTGTCTCTGTATATACTGTACGCACAAAATCCTCGTGCATCACCTGTCCCATGACGCTAGGTGACCTTGAAAGTCTGTTTACGCGGAAAGAATTTCACTTGTGATTTGAAACAATCTTATGGTCAGTTCCAAGTTCACACCTGTTTAAAAAATATATTGGGTCTCTGCCGGTGGGCCAGGGGCGCCGTATGTTTATCACACCTTTCAAATTTTTCAGCTCTGACCACGGCAAGTGTATAACACACTCAACTGATATCAGGCGAAATTCATCTTCCAGGTTTCACTACAACAACGATTATAAACTTACATGTACTTTGTTAATTTATTAAGGTCTTCCGTCTTCACGGAAGACCTTATAGCGATTCTACTGTTTCTTCTTATTATTATTATTTTCCTGACCATCTAATTTTGTGCACGCGATTTCTCGAAGACTACTGGGTGGATTTTCACGAAATTCTCAGAAACGATGTGTTGTTATCTGAAGTTATTTTATCCGAGAGATTTTTTGGAAATTCGCTTCCGGTGCTAAATTACGGACCTTTTCCTGAATTTAAAATGACATTTTGTCCGCGGTTAATCTCAAGAACGGTAAAAGATATTAATGTGAAACTTTCAGGGATTATAGATCGTGATATTCACTTTCCAGGACGCGACCTTTTGTTCGTCGTCAGTACTTTCTGTTGTTTCCAGATGAAAATTTAAAAAGTCGAATTTTCTAACTTTTTTGTTTTTCAATATTTTTGAATTATTTCAATATGATTAATAGAAATCCTTCTAATTAGGCTTAATATATAATTTGTTTATAAATTGATAAATCCAAACTCTAGTTTAATATCCTATTTCAGACACAAATAAGCATGTATCTCGTAGATTAAGATAAAAAAAACATACTGAACATAAATTTGCAGACTTCTGATAAAGTTTTAACCAGCCGATTCGTATCGCTTTCTAGAAGGGGGGGGGGTTAAAAATCGCTAAATATCTATATGTTTTCTCAAACTGTTTTTTTTTTTTTTTTTTTTCATTTCTTACACAATATATTTCAGAATGAAGTAATATTCGTACCGAAGTTAGTACAATCATTCCATTTGCCAAAAATTCGGCTGGTGATTTTTGTATTCAGCGTGTAAGTTGATCACTATTTTAAATTAAAAAATTATTTAATTATTTAATCAGTTATTGAGTATGCAGATGTAGTATGGGACAATATCCCAAATGATTTAGCTGATAAACTCGAAAAAAATAACATTGAGGCTGCTCGCATAGTTACAGGCGCGACTAAACTAGTAAGTTTAAATGATCTTTTTCGAGAAGTTGGATGGGATACGTTGCACAATCGAAGACAAAAACATAAAATAATCAAGTTTCACACCATGGTTCATAGAAGTGCGCCTGACTATTTATCTTCTTTAATCCCTTTAAGAATCAATGAAACACACCATTATCCTATAAGACGATCACACTGCATTACTCAACGGAAGTTTAATACAAACCACTATGCACAATCTTTTCTACCATCCACTACAAAGCTTTGGAACGAACTACCTATAAATATCCAAGAAAATCCCAATCGGCAATCCTCGGCTGACTCCGCTTCACTCCATTCAAACCTCGGATGTGATAGGTGGAGGAATACGCATCAGATCGCTACATTTCTCCGCCGGAAACTGCCTTGTCACTCATTTCATATTTCGCCCTGCCTAAAGTTCTTAGAAAAGGTTTCTTTATTTGTGTATTTCCTCGTGTTAATTACAACCAAATGTTAGTATTCTTTGAAAGCAAGAACACAGTGTTGGGCGTGCATCAAAGTAAGTCGGATTTCAAAAGTATAATATTTGAATGAAATTCAAAAAGACTGAATCAGCAAGATGGAAGATCACCGTTGACGTCCGAGGTTATGTGCGAGGTACGAGTCATCCGAGGAACTCCGATTGAGAAAATCCCTCAGTATCTAATTTAAAACGCGTGCTAAACACAAACTGTCATAAAACCCCAAAACATTTTCTATTTGGTAAGCGCACAGAACAAATTTTACATACACGACTCAGACTTAATTGTAGTACACTTAATTCTCATTTATTTGCAAAACATATAATAGATAATCCTAATTGTGCTTGTGGAAAAATTGAAACAACAACACACTTTTTATTAGAATGTCCTCTTTACACTGACTCAAGGAAAAAATTCATTAACCCATTAGGACCAGTTAGTTTAAACATTCTCTTATTTGGAGATTCAACTAAGAATTATTCCTTCAATACAAACATTTTTAAACATGTACATCAGTTTATTTCTGCCTCTAAAAGATTTGTAACTTGAATATTACTTGTGGCCGTATACTGTTGTTCTTGTATTGTATTGTATTGAATTGTATGACTGTTTATTCCTCATTTACTGTTAATGTTAATTCATGTTATGATATATCTCTCTACAATTTTTTCTCATTTTTGTTTCATCTTTATTTTTTCATTATATTTCTTTCTATATCTGTCATTCAACAAGGGCAAATATTCATTTATAGTTGAAAGTTAATTTAAGGAAACGGATTAATATAAGTTGTTACAACTTGTTTCCGAATCCTGTATGTATTATCTGCTGTGTATATATGATGTCTAATTTAAATGAAATAAAGTTTAAACTAAATTAAAAAAATTATCAGATTATCATCTCTGCCTATTCAGTAGATTTTCGAGTTTACCGCATTTAATATTTATCTCCATATTTTACATAATTACAGATTAATTCAGCGTTAATCACGGCAATAATCCTTATCTGAATCTGTCCAATGATTCGCCGAGTATCGGTACCGGTATCAAAGAGCAGAATTAATGTACGAGTCTGATTCTTTTTTTTTTTTAATTATTCTAGACATAGTACATATATAATTATATTTATTTTTTAAATTCTTACAAAATATTAAATCACTTAGTATAATCACGCATCTGATATGTACTACTTATGAGTGCATACGTACTTAAGAAAAACGATCTTGTATCAACAATTTAATTGAACACGGTTAAATAGAGACAATCAAGTAATTCATTTATGAAAGTGTGTTTCCTCTTAGTGTAATACATGTATTATAATAATAATAATAGTCTATTGAACTTTTTATGACCAATATAATTAGGATTTAACTTGAAACGCAATTGTACATTTTTTTTTGTTGCTGGACACGAGTACGCTGTTATTAAATTTAGGACATCTTATAAGTTTAAACATCTGTATGCGATAAATTACCAATATTAATTTATGGAAAAGTACAACAAATATTTCAAAAGAAAGTTGATTTAATTTTATTAAATTAGGGCAATGAAAATGTTTAAAATATTTATCATCAAAACTGTGACACACCGTGTTACACGGTGCACAGAAACGCTGACTTCAAAGACGCCGACAAGGTTCGAGGTCCTCGCTAAAGCGTGGAATTGCGGTCCACGGGGCCCCGTGTTTTTTGCGGAAAACTCGTGGCCTGTACTGTATGTCTGTCTGTAAACATTTTTTTTAAAATGCTAGTACTCCTCCTACAGTTTTGGTCGGATTTCCATATAACTTGGCACACAAGTAGACTACACTAAGATACATAATTCTGTGTATCGTTTTTGATTTGAATATACGGTGTTGCCGTGGTTACTAAAAATAGAAATTTCTGTGAAATTCTTTCAAAATGCTACTTGTCCTACAATTTTGGTCTGATTTCAATATAACTTGGCACACAAGTAGACTACACTAAGATATATAACTTTTTATATCGGTTTTTAATTTGGATGAACGGTGTTGCCATGGTTACTAAAAAAAGAAATCTCTGTGAAGTTCTTTCAAAATGCTACTCCTCCTACAGTTTTGGTTTGATTTCAAAATAACTTGGCACACATGTAGACTACACTAAGATACACAATCCTGCATATCAGTTTTTGACTTCGATGAACATTATTGCCTTTGGTTTCTAAAAATAGAAATTTCTGTTAAATACTCTCATAATGCTACTCCAAATAAGTTTTAGTCTGATAATAATATAACATGGCATGCAAGTAGACTACACTAAGAACATAAAGAGACTTAATCAAGGAGCATTATTCTATTTATTGCTGTTGTAAAGTTTCAATTCCAAACTGCTGAAGTATTTTTCTCTTCCTTTGCTACAAGTACAAAATAGTAGAGCTTCAGACTCGACATAGACTTCTGGTTTTTACTTTAGAAAGCAAAAATTCCTTTGTAGGCATGTAGAGATGACTCAAAACAAATTACGGGAAATTCAGGGGTAGATGAAGGTGTGCAACTTTTTGTTGGAGATGAAAACAGTGTGTCGGGCAAGTTTTAATATCATTACATCATGTTTTTCTGTAGTTTTAAATTCATTGATCAACTGGTCAAAGACAAAGAGAGCTTATTTTTATACCCCCTTCGTAGAAGGGATGGCATGTTGCTTTGCTATTGTCTGTTGGTCGGTCTATTGGTCTGCAAAATTTCCTGCAGATTTCATTTTCTTCGAAGCAGTTGCACATACTGAAATGAAATTTAGTATTCAGATTATCATTAGAATATCTAGTTAGAGTTCTCTTTTGGGTACGATGGAGCCATTTTTGACAAATTTATGCCACTTGGACTTTAAAAATTCAATTGCTTGCAGTTTCCATTCATTTTCTTGGCAGCGAATGCACAGACTGAAATGAAATTTGGTGTACAGATTTATCTTAGAAATATCTACCTCAATTTCTCTTTTGGTACAATGGAGCCATTTTTGACAGAGGTATGCCCCATGGACTTAATTTTTCTCAGAAGTTTGCTACACTAAGAGTTCCATTTCACTAAATAAATAAATCTCCGTTTCTTTAAATTTAAAGTCCTTAGGCTTTCTGGAATGCTGTGTCATTTATCATATATTGCCTGTCCCTGTCCTTTAATCTTGTTACTAGCCTTCTGATAAGCATCCTAGAAAGCTTATATTCTTTTGGAAAATATATTTCATCAACTTCTGAATGAATATTGGCCATATGAATTGAAAAAAAAACAGCTTTACAATTCAGTACTAAGTAGATAAGTTAAATTCATTTCGAAAAATGTTCAAATTATGACATTCGCGTTTATAGCACAATATATCATTGTTAGACCATGATTTCCTCGACTTTTTCTCATGGAACAAAAATGCAGGATTTGATGCTTAAAATGATACATAGTTTGTAGAAGTACGATAGGTAAGATAAATAATAAGAATTAAAAATGTAACGTATATCATGAAACACCCTGTACTTAAAACAAATTACAATAAATTATACATGTACTCGTGTATACAATATTAAACGATGCCAATGATAAATTTTAGATAGAAATATTTAAAGCGATAAAACATCTAATTATAAACTGTTGAAAGTTTTCATAACATTTTACTAAATTACATATTTGACTTAAAATACAATATTTACATTTGCAAATGTTTTCCTTTGTATAAGACTACTGAAAGCAATGTGTATCTATAACTGTATAAATACCGGTACGGGGTCAAGAGGTCATAGATGTGCTTATAGATAATCGTTTGACGTCATTTCTCAGTGACGTCATAAAGGGTCGACACGCGTTCAGTGGGTTACATACATGCCGTTGGGTTTGAAAAAATAATGCATTTCACACGTTAAAAGGCACAATCAGGCAAATATAAAGTATGAATAAGTCACAAATGTAAATATAAGTAATAAGGTATCATTTTAAAACATCTATCGGGCTATAAATACGGGTCGGTACGAGATTAAATTCATCATAAGGCTTTATGGAATTTAATCTCGTGACCGACCCGTATTTATATCCCGATAGATGTTTAAAAATGATACCTTATTTCTTAATAAATCGATGTAATCTTTATAATTAATAACATTTTAATAAAGACATTTTTTATTAACGAAGAAATTTTTGGTTAATGCAATGCATGCACAAATTTGCTTAAAATTTAACTTCTGTAACAGATGTACAGTATGTCTATGAGATTTTCTCCAGTCTCAATGAAATCTAATCTTTCAGGTATTTCAGTGACAATTCCACCCATTCCAACCGAGAATCAAATTGTATACTCGCCTCCCTGCATTGATGATAGTGTCATAGTGTTCTCAACTCCATTTGGTAAGAAGAAGAAAAAATGTGAGAGATAGAGACTGCATAATTGATATGCATACTCTACTAATTAGGCTCTTTCAAATGACACCAAGGTCGATGACCTTGTTACTTTGACTGTGACCTACATGCTAAAATAGCTTGGTTGTTGCCGGGCACATAGTGTCTCACAAACACATCTTGATTGTTTTTCAGCTTACCTGAGCCAAGCTTTTCTGATTAAAATTTGTCCCTTGTCTGTCATCGTCGTTGGCCTTGTTGGCCATGTCATCGTTGTCATAAACTTTTCACATTTTCATCTTCTTAAGAACCACTGGGCCAATTTCATTTAAACTTGCCACAAAGTATCCTAAGGTAAAGGGGATTCAAGTTTGTTCAAATAAAGGGCCATGCCCTCTTTTTCCACGGGGAGATAATTATGAATTAGTGAAAAAATAATGGCATCTTTCAAAAATCTTCTTCTTAAGAACCACAGGGTCAGGAAAGATGAAACTCAAGTGAAAACATTCTTAGGTAGTGTAGATTCAAGTTTGTTCAAATCATGACCCCAATAGGTACGGTGGGGCCACAATGGCTTATCAAAGTTATAGGAATATATAGGTAAAATCTTCAAAAAT